TGGTCTTGGGGTTCCACCTCCATGGGGATTTCCTCATCAAGTCTTGGTGCAACTAAATTCCATACCTGCTGCAACAAAATATTACAGGACTCAAGCATGTCTCTTTGAAATGCATGTAACTAACTTGCAGAGGAGCCCCAGCATTGAATTATTTTCTGTAGTGTAGCATATCCCACCTGTTGTTCATTCTTTCAATAATCACATTCTACAGGTTGATGAGGAATTGTGGACTGTAAGCATGATCTTTATTTGAACGATTCTGCCCGAATGGTAAGTGGGGTATTTACATGCTAGAAGTGAAATGTGTGGATAGGAAAGCCGTAAAATTTGGTCCTTATTTTTTTTTTTCAGTAGGTGATGTAAAAAGCAACTGTAGAGTATTTTTTTTTGTCTTTTTCCTGTATCTACACAAGAAATTTACAAAGAATAATTCAGAAAACAAAATAACGTAAATAAACTGTATGTGTCCTTGCTCTTTAAAGTAAATTACTCAAACCAACCGTATTTGTTATGTCGCAGAGTGGTTCCAATGGCCCGGCCCCTCTGCATACAACTCTTGCAGCCTGGGTTGGAAAGGGAAAATGAGTAAATACTTAGTTTTGAAGATGGCCCAATAAATCAAAACATGCATCTTTAAATAGTCCAAACAGTGTGGAAAGAAACATGTAACGTAGTTGCAAAGAGGCTTAATTTTGACTTTTATGATTTTTTTTCTTTCATGAATGAATTTTTATTAGCTCATAAATTAAAACGATCTACTTATACCATCATACCTCCTTCTTCTTTGCCTTAGTTGCATTTTTCTCCTGGACCACAACCTTCGCTGTCTTTATTTTCTTTGCACATGCAGTTTCCTGTGAAAAGGGCAAGAGATATATATTTAATTTCACATTTCAAAAAAAGAAGAGTTAAGCCAAAATCAAATTTTTATTACGTGTTCCTATTTACTTATTAAAACATACCGCTGTGTCCTTGCGCTTAACACTGCAACCCTTTTGCTTCGTCACTGTTTGCTTGCATGCCTGGAAAGAAATGGCCACGAAAAATGTGCATTAAGCGTCCATTCTACGGTTATGCATGTTAGATTTTAAATAACGAATGACAGCCAACAGTTTAAAGAAACATGAAATCGCCAAATGCATATAAATCTCCTCTCGTCAAGAACTACTTTTGACGCCACATTTGCGATTGATTTTGGTGGTTGCAATGACCCAGTAATGCATTAACTAAGATTCATTAATTAAGATATTTACGTTTGTCTTTCTGTTTCCATTCTGGCTCCCTGTCATCTCGGTTGAATTCTCATTCATACTGACGTCACTACCCGACGTTGTGACATCCTAGTCAGAGTGAAATAATTACGGTTAGATATGCATGAGTATTGATACAGTTTTCACAGAAGGGACGTAGATTCTCACAAACTCGTGTGTATTTACGCTTTTTGATACTTAAAGGTGTGACGCATTCAGCGTCAGCAAGTTGGGTTTGAGCTTTCAGAATAAAAAAATGACAGGAAATCCAACTGATATACTAAAATATCTAATTAAGTATAAAATACAGCAGTTTGCAGCAAAAGTGCGACGAAAAGTCATTGACAGAATGAATACCAAGGTGCTTGCCATGTTTGCATGATAATGAATATCAAGAGAAAACATGAAGTAAAATTTAGTGAAAAAGTGAAAATTTAGATGCGGCTGATAAATAGTACGGATAAAATAACTGCGAGGTAACTGTTTGGAATACGAAAAAATTTTGATTCCACACTGCCACAACAGGTTTTTGAAAAGTACACATATCGATAATCAGTGGTATAAACGCACTTACCAGACAGTTTTTTGAAAGCTGAGGTACTGTCATCTCTCGTTGAGCACGGAGGAGCTCGGAATGGTCATCTTAAAAGAGAGACATTTAAAGACTTGCATTAAAATACATATACTCTTGAAATGCTATTGGCAATTCCAAACATTAAACTTTCGATATCTCATAGTTGTATCACCAAGTCATCCGGTTCACTTGATCCGAGGGATCTTGTTAATTGGAACCAACACTACCTTGGACGCATCGCACTCGTGCCAGTCGGAAACTAAGTTGAAATTTCAACATACATGTACACTGTATGTTGGTTGACATAAATCATTCTTTACATTAAAGATTTGTTGGCTATCATATACATTGTGTTAAAGTTAACATCTGTCTCTTTTCCCCCCAGTTATTACACTCACCGGAAAGCAGGATGATTTTGCCAGGAACTACGCTGTTTTCCCAGCACACTTCCACAGTTTCTCCGACTTTTAGCATTGCTTGCGCTGTGCCTCTTGTCAACTTAGTGGGAAGGACGGCAGTTGTGCCTTCGTCAATAAAATGTATGAGGGCTTCACGAAAAACTTTCAATTGACGTCGAATCGACATGTTGGAATGTTTGGTGACTGAAGTGCAAGGAAGACAACTTCAAAATGCGATGATTTTAGCAAGCCATACGACGTGGCGTCAGCGTTTCTCACTGACGCAACCTATTGTTCTTGTGAATTGGATATGAAATAAGCAGAGGCTCGTGGACCTTTCAACCATCAAACCACGCCCGACGTAACCCCCCCTCCTCCTTTATTGTTAACCGACGATAGGCGGTCCGTTTCAACTCCAAATGTTAAAGATTAGGTGTTCCCACACCGTGAGAGGCTTCGATCGATTGTAATCTGGATAGTGAAGAAGTTCTCACAACGGAGACTTTGATGTCTTTGAAACAGTGATTTGCGTGGAGAAGAAACTTAACTTACTAATCAATAATCCGCTGATTCATGCAGCGCTGTTCTAATGACTGTGCATCGCGGGGAGGGGGGGTTACGAGGAAAATGGACAATAGATGGTACTTACTGGTGTCGCGCCGCCAGAGGTTTCAATGGCGGTGATTTTTTTCGAACGGAACAATAGGGACTTGGAACTTCACAAATCATAAAGGGACACCCAAATTAAGGGGCTGCAGTCACTTTTCTGTCAATTTATACGGATGGGAGAAATTTTGCCAAAGTTATGAAGAATTTTCTAGGTCATGAAATCAATTACAGAAAACTTCATCAAAATTGTAGTTTTAGTTTGTAAGAGGGGACAGTACCGGTAGTCGTTTTTCTCGTGAAAGCATACCTTTACGTGGGGTACAAAGCGCAAAGGGCATATCCACAAGACCTTGCAAGGCCCAATGTCCGTTTGTTTTAATCTGAGTACGTTTTTAATTAAATGCCGTAGATCCCAACCAATTGAGAAGTGCTTACAGTAGTTAAGATTATGGCCGCTGAAACGTCGATGGAAGTAAAACATTTTCGCGAGCAGAAACTACTCCGTAAGCCTGCCACCCATATACCAATACATGTACATGTACGAAAACGCTAACCCCTCAATGCCCACATGAATGCTCATGTACATGCTATCCATTTCTCTTTTTAACCCCATCCGTGGCGGTTTAACACATGTTTTTGTTTCGGTATTATTTTTGCCGCGTGTACCAAGTCTAACTTTGTTAAATCTTTCAAGCAGTTTGGAAAGTTCTGTATTTTTAATTTTATGCATCAACATGTACGGCTATTACGCCCACAAATTGATTAAAAATCCAGTTATTCGGATCTACCGGAATTTGAATTCCTATAGTCTGACATGAATGGAAATTAATAGCAAGCCATTTATTAGGTCTATCTCTTTTATAGATATGGCGGCCCTGAAAAGAGCCGTTGGTATGAATGGGTGTTAATACCCAGATGCGCAGCCCTTCCTCTCCACCACTACCGGCATAACCTTCTGTAGGTGGTGTATGTACTTCTTGCACAGTTCTCGGGTCGGTGTCGTACTCCAAAATTCCAGGATACCTGCCTTCAGCTCTTCAGCAGTCTTGGGCTTCACTCGCCTTCGAAGGTGGTGCTTGAGCTGATGCCACAGGTTTTCGATGGGGTTGAGGTCTGGGGACTCAGCGGGAGTTTTGAACCAATTTATCCCGTTTGCTTTCATGAACTCAACTGTGGCTTTACTAGTGTGTTTGGGATCATTGTCGTGTTGAAATCTGTATCCGTCAGGGAACACAGTGTTTGCAAATGGAAGAAGTGTATTTTTCAGGATCTCTTCTTGGTAGAATTGACTATCCATGATTTTCTCGAAAATGAGCACTTGAGTAACGCCCCGTGTTGAAATTCCCCCCCAAACATGGACCTTATAGGGATGCTTTGCCTTTGGTTTAAGTTTTCTTGGATTGCCAATTTTTCTAAACGTAAGTTTACTATGGGACTCCATCTGTATCGAACACTCGTCCGTAAAAATGACATTGTCAAAGGTCTCGTTCCGAGCCAATGCAGCTCGGCAAAATTCGAGCCTTGACTGTCTGTTGGGGATGCGAATCAATTGACAATACTTAGTCCCCGTTTTGACCCACTGAAGTTTTTTCCTCACTCGCTTTACTGTTGAAAGGGAGACCTCAACCCCTTCGTCCATTAAGGCTCGCTGAATGTCTTGGGCTGTTAGCTCGTCATCGTTCTCATAAAGGGTATCTATGAGGTCGAGATGCTGCGGTTGGAGTCTTGAGCTTCGCCCGGGCCTTGGCTTGTCGGCAAATCTTCCGTGCACCTTGTAGCGCTGGAGAAAACGCCGAACTGTGCGTGTCTCTGTTCGGAAACCATCACCTAAAAGTTTTCGGCGAATGGCCGCTGGAGAGTGCCCATCTTTATCAAGGCAGATTATCTGGTGTTTGACGACTAGAGGCAGGCGTGACATGATGGTCAGTGTTAGATGCTGCAGCCGGTAGAACTCATGTACATGTGTTATGGAAACTAGCTTGCTACATTCATTCCCCCACACTTTATACCCTAGCTTAGAATCTGTTGCACCACAGTAATTACAGGCGTTGACTCATCCAGTCACTGGGGAAGAAAATTAACCGGCAACGCTTACCAGGCTCAGTTAGGTGGAGTCTATAGGGTGAAAACTTCCTATTCACCATATCTTTAATCCCCTTGGCTTAGCGGCCCCTTGTAACACTCATCGTGGTGAGCTGTCGTCGGTCACGAGTACCCCTATGCCATTAATAGTTCCATCTGTATACACTGCGTGTATATATTGCTTAGTACTAATAAATGTGGTGTTTGCTTTTTTATAGAAAACACTTGTAAAAGTATGGAAATGTATCTGGTTTTCTTGGCTGAAATCATCAAAACAACAGTCAAATTTATTAACATGCTTTATCATTTAAACGATATTTTTGGGTTCGTTGCCCCCATATTCTATTTAAGATGGTACACATTACAGTGACTGAAAGAAAAATCCTTTAGAAAGACGATTGTTATTTACTCAATGAGGAATACTTGTGCTAATTTAGATTATTCCAGTAGTTTATCTTCGTCATTGTTAAGAGGTTTCCTTTTTCAGGGGACATTATTATTATTTCTAATTTATACTGGGTGACTCATTCAGTTCTTAAAAAAATAAACTGTTCTCCCATGAGTCCTAGTGAACAATCATAAGATATAAGACAAAGCGGATTAAAATGGAACCAGGTAAAACTACATATCTGTAGATAAAAATACTGAGAATAATTTAAATAATATGAGTAAAGAAAACTAAGAATATAAAGTAAGCAGAGTATCAATTATAAATTTACAATAAAACATTACAGGGAGCTGATTTTTAAAATTACTTAAACTTGTTGGGACGGGATGCTTTATCGCCACAGGCAGTTTGTTCCAAGCCTGCACACCTCGAAATTGGAATGTTCTCTTCCTAAATCCTGTCCTTTATTGAGGGAGACAGAGATTTTCCTCCACACAATGCCTAGTATGATAAGAGTGCCGATTGCTTACATAAGAAAACAAAGTGCTAAGGTAATCTGGAACAAGGCCACTTAATCATTTATAAACCATCATATTCAGATGGCGTTCACGTCTGACGTGTAAGCTCCCATCCCAACTTGTTATAAACGAAAACACGAGGTGTTCTTGGTGGAACCTTCAAGATGACCCTTCCTGTTCGATTGAACAAAAATCGAGACGTTGCACTAAGGTATTGGCTGCCTTACACCCCACAAGGTCACAATAATCAAGTCGAGTAAAAATAAGTGATTTCGCAAGAAGGTTAAGTTTCCTTACGGGCAAATAGTTCCGAACACGTAGCAAAATTCTAATTCTGAGACGCAAGATTCAAGACATAATCGGGGGTCAATCCATTTGTCAAAATTAACCATTCCAGATCCTTCCCCGTTTGCTGGATGGCCCTAACTTGCATCTGAAGCTATTTCACGCAATGAAAGAATAGTCGGGGCCAATCAGTGGCTATCACATTTTACTCCTTAGGCCCACCATGTCATTTATCCCCTCTCAAAGTATATGATGTTTATAAGGCAACTACGGTGGAAGATTTTACCCCCTTAAAGTTCACATTCACTGGCTTGTGCCTAAGGTACATTTACAATTACAACTACGGAATTGGTCGGCACGGCATGTCAAGTTCATGCCAGCACACGTAAATGAAACAGATATTTTTGTTTTCAAATTATGTATTATTTTGTCTTGTGCATTTCTTTAGGGTTTTGAAAACTGTTTATAATTTGTGTGAGTTCCAGTTCTCATTGACGTTTTTTCTAAAGGCCACTCAACAGCAATTTTTCAAATTTTCATTCAGCTACTTTGTATAAGTGCACGAAGTTCCAATTTTCATCGTGTTACATTATTCGAAAGTGAATTTTGGGCACGGACTTTTCGTCTCTATCAGGTAAGGCTATTTTACTTCAGCTTATTTAAATTATTACATCTTTAGAACGGAAAAGACAATTCCAATAGTCACGTCACGCTTTCGCTAGCGCTGATGACGTTTGGGGAGCGATGACCCAATTCGTAAATGGTCATCGGAGTGCAAACTCCCGGCTCTACGCGGATCTCCCTCGCGCACTACTCCGTTTGCGAGTCACTCGCTCGTTCCTCGGGAGAGTCACGCGAGGCCTGTAAGCTACCCGACTCGCCTCGTTTGACACGCGCTCGTTCCTCGCACACACGCGAGTTTTAAGGGAAGGCCCTCGCCCGTTCCTCGCGTGTGGATCGAGGGCCCTCGCTCGTTAAAGGAACAAGATGTGGGCGGTACTGTACTAGTATGATTCATTTTCATGCATGGGAGGAAGGGGTCCTTGCCCTGCCTGTCCTATCTTAGAGGAGGGGATGGGATGGGTGCTGATTCAAGCCTGTCTCTTGGCTTTTACTTTGGGATTGTGCGTGAGACCGAATTTTATATCTGTGTGTGGGTGTGGGCTCAGATTACTATGGCCATTATGCTTTCTCCACTTCAGCTCATCTGTACAAGAGAGGGGCGGGTAAGCAGAGATGTGGGGAGTGATCCTGCTTATTGGAAGAAGGAGGGGTCTTAAAAGTAAGCACAGCCATTGAGATTTCTTCCTAACTTCAGGTCCACTGATGGGGATATAATATGGGAAAAGTACATGTACCAGGGCTTTTTCAGGGAGCTTAAATGTACATGCAACTTATAGCCATCGTACCTTTCTCCATAAATTCTGTGGGGGTGTGGATCCTACATGTATGTGAGGATAAGGTTTTGGGGTAGGTATCAGCTTTTTTGTGGGGGGGAGGCTATTTATGGGCATCATG